GGTTAGGCTTTTGAGCCAAAGGCTTTGGTTGAGGACCCTAATCGTCCTCCTGTCTAGGTGGGGGCGCCCTGGCAGTATCCCAGCCCACGTACAACCATGAATTGCACATCCACAAGATGATGATGCAGGGTGGCTGCTTCCGGGAGGGGCTTGACCAGTGGCACACATTTAAGCTAAAAATTTGATCATCTTTTCTACAACGCTACACAGTGAGATATTTTTCAGAATACTGACGCATTCTGTGACTCTCTGTGTTGACTCTCCATAGTTTTTCGCAGATCAGGTCAATATGACTGACCTTTACTTTCGATGCAAGTTCATGGGTCACATGAAACGTCACTTGTTCGATCCTTAGACGCGTGTGGAGCAACACGCTGTCACGTTGACCTTATTTTACGTGTGCAGCCGCCATTTATTAGGCGGTTCTTGATGTGTCGTCCACAGATATCCTTTTCCATTCAGTAGGTTCAGTTTACCACAAAGCGTCCTTCATCTTACTGAGCCAGTTCATTTTGAAACGCAGACACTATTACAAACTTTCGCTCTCATCAATATCAGTAATGCACACTCATGTAAGCACCTTGTCTTTAGGCTGTGCAAAAGCTTCCCCTTAAGTAGCATTTTCAATCAAATAGGACTGGTTCAGTCCGTAATCCGGGGCCCTGATTTTGCCACAATCCTGCAGGGGTCTGGTTCGGCGACATGTTAGTTGTGAAGCCATATAGACCGAACAGCTAGCCAAAATTCTAGTGTGCTTTTCGTCAGTCCTAGCGTAAGCCTACACGCAGTGTAAGTGTCTTCTACTTTGAGCCTATGGGTCTAGTACTCAGAGGCTACCGGCTCCCATGGTAGTTCTGTTACTGTCTTGAATTTGAGGCAGGATATGCATGAATCGCTTGTGCCCTGGTGAACAAAACCCCACAGATTACGAGTGACATTCATACCATCTTATTAAGGCTTTGTCCTATTGACAGGCATCACCTATGCTGTTCAAGTTTATTTGTCAAATCATTTAAGTAAAATGACCGGATCTGGATAAACGACTAAAGGGTTGAAAGAAAAAAAAACCTTAATGGAGTATACCTGGCTGATAAGATATCCTAACGACGGAGACGTGACACATATTGCTCTGTACATCTATATAGCGTTGTTTAACTTTGCAGCGTGACCTACATTTTGCCTTGCATGGGATACCATCCGTCTTCCATCCAAATTAAAGCCATGGATATTACACTACTTATATTACAGCAGTAGTTCCAAATAAGTGCAACGTCACTTCAGCAACTGGCGCTGAGCTAATTTGTCAAACATTTCGATTTTCGTTGAAGGCTCTGCAGAAAATTATACTGTGTTATGTCATTGG